GTTGAATACGAGACCACTTTGGTTGGTGGGTTTCACCATCCACTAGAGAGTATAGAAATGGAGATTAGAGAGAGAGAGAGAGAGAGAGAGAGAGAGAGAGAGAGAGAGAGAGAGAGAGAGAGAGAGAGAGAGAGAGAGAGAGAAAGAGAGAGAAAGAAAGAGAGAGAAAGAGAGAGAGAGAGAGAGAGAGAGAGAGAGAGAGAGAGAGGAGGGAGGGAGAGAGGGGCCAGAGGGAGAGCGAGCTCGCTTTTTGTTTTGTTTATGTAGGCTGGCTGAATAATTAGTTCGGAAAGACACCATTGAAAACGAATCTGTTCATCCTTGAGTGTCATCTCGCCTTGTGAAGGTCTGCCTTGGTTATTTATGAAGGTGAATTTCTGGTGAACAACTGCCTCGGTGTGACTGCGATAATGACATTCCAGAGAGTCAGAGACGTCGCCTTCAGTGGGAAACAGGACAGCACTCATGACTGAGGAGCTCGTAAACAAATGAGGAACGTAACGTCATGAATAGCAATTTGCTACCATAACACCTTCAACGTCTTTTCTTCTAAAAGGAAAAACAGCCAACAAAAGCGATTGATCACAAAAAGGAATTCATCACAACAAAGTATGACTGATAGTGAGCTTAATGTCAATATATCGTCGTGTCGTGGCAGTAACAAAGCAATGCGTTACTCCGTTTGATAGTTCCACGACCACAACGTTTGCAGCTTACGAATGGAGCCCAAGAACGTTTTATGTATGTAGCTACGGTCGTCAAAGCAAGATTTGTATTCGCCTTCTCCGAACGGCACTCTGTCCTGCCCGTCCTGTACAAAACCACGTCATGTCTTCTCTTCTCTGAATGGCAATCTGTCCAGCTCTGACAACCACAACCATGAAGACCTGACAACCATGAAGCGTCCCGCATCGTGGCATGTCCGTCGTCAGTAGCCACTGCAACTGTCAGTAGCCCCTACTCGTACGCTGGCCACCATGAACCACGCAGTTCCTTGGCCGGGTGTCAGAGTCCACATACGTGAACTCATGCTACCGCCGAGCGCCTCAAGACTCCAAAATGCATACAGCAATAATAAGTCGAGCCCACTATCACACAGCTGCGAGCAGCGCGACAGAGCGGCGGCGGTCGGTTTGATGACCGCGGCACCGCCAGGGGAGATGTCACGCACTATCATAACATCCTTCCAACGGCGAAACAGAGCACTCAGACGCGTCAGCCCCGATCTCCAGAGGGGCGACATGCGCTTCATGTCGCGCCCGGCACCATATTTAGGTCGGTCCGTGGGCTGCGGCGCCCTTCACGCTGCCATGTCGGTATGGTAAACAAGTGCCGGTCGCCCCTGCGGAACCCCGTGTAGGTCGGGGAGGTCCGGCCGGCCTCCTCTCCGCCTCCACGCCGGCAGAGGGCGCGGCAGAGACTCCCAGAGGACGGGCCGCCCGCGCGGCACCGCGACCGCACCAAATACAGCACGGTGCACCGATCGGCGTCCTGGCTAGACGCAGGGGGCCGTAGGCTGGAAAATAATCACTGGACGATGGAAAAGGGGATGTGTGGGAATGAGTCAGAAGAAAATCCTAATATCATGTATCGCGTATGGAAAGGAGTATACACGTACCCCCGTGCTACGTGGCCTTCATCACAGTATAACTGAGTTGGTTGCTTTGGCTTCAGGCTTGAATTAAAATTTTATCTGTCGCTCCGAAAATGGCTTGCGGTACTTTCAACTGAGCCCTCCCGTCTCCACAGGCACCATTCTAACAAACACTTTTCTGTTTCAGGCACAATCAGCCTTCGACACTCAGAGGACGCCAGGACCCCCTGTCGCCAAGTGTCGCCGAGTGTCGCCAGGTGTCGCTCAGTGTCACCTCCGGCCTCTCATACCACCCCGCCATGGTGCAGGGTGCGTGGACGCCGACCCGGCCGCGCCGTCCGATCGCCGCCGAGTTCCAGACGCCCGGCCCGGGCTCCTGTAACATCCCCTCCACCATCGGTGAGTGACGCCGCTCAGCGGACCGAGAGACGCCGCCGGCAGGAGTCTCTGGACTCCGCCGACAGGAGTCTCTGGACTCCGCCGACAGGAGTCTCTAGACTCCGCCGACACGAGTATCTATCGCCAACGTCTACATAGCTCAGCATCGTCATCGCTCATGTCCCTCGCTCTAAAATTACAGATGCCAAAGCAAGCCCTTTCGGTGTAATGAGACCTTTTCAGAGCCGGAAGAATGGTAGGAATTAGTGGGAACATTGGTATGGGCGGCCACCCTGGTGCTCCGCTGCAGGGCTGGGCTGAGCCCGCCTCAATGGACAGGTCACTCATCCCCGCTAAAACCCCACCGCACGTCGGCCTGCTCCTAAGGAGCTACTTACTCACTTTGGACGAAGGTGACCGTCCAGCACAGTTTAGGGGGTTTGAGGCGTGGAGGAGAAGGATTTATACCTGATGATGGAACAGACGGAACGGAGGATGCCTGTAGGTCAGCACACGAAGCGAGTACTGCAGCCCACAGCTGCGGAATTTTACTGAAGCTTTAGTACTCATACTCTCCACACGTTCCCATAGCGCTGCTATCGTCGAATATTTCACCTTCCGTCCGCTAGGTGGCACTGAGCGGCGTCCAGCGCTGGGCCGGGCCGAGAGGGTCTGGTTGGACACCTGATGACGTAAGCCGGCCGGCCTCAGGTGTGTGTGACCTCGGCTTTCGCGATGGGCCGGCTGGGAGCGCGGTGGGCCGCCGGCACCGGGGAGACTGAGCGAGGCCAGCGGCTGCGGAGGGTTCGGCTCGGAGCCGCCGGGGGCCGCCCGCGGGCCGCGCAGATGTTCTCTGAAAGGGGCCGCCGAGACGGGGCGGGGCGGGGCGGGGCGCCGCTCTCTTATCTGTCGTCACTGCTAATGGCGGTTTCGGGACAGGACTGCGCGACGTCGCAACATCTGGTAAGATTAATTGCCCGCCGGATGGCCGTGACAGAGCAAAAAAGGGCAAACCGAGCATCGGACGAGAACGGTACTCCGTATTGATGCTGCACAGATACGCCGCAGATCGCTTACATCAGAACACTGCGGCCGGTAAGAAGGTTCGATGGTTCGGTTCTCCAAAAAGCCAATCCGGCTCATGCGGCTTTTGACTTTCCCGTCAATCACGACGGCTGTTTGAGCTGGCATCAGTGGGGCAAGATCTCCGTTTTTGCTTCATGTGATGTCCATATCACGTGTATGCCATCAGAATTTAATTGGCCTTTTGCAACACACCCGCAAAGCCCTTCACAACGATTACGTGTACGTGTAAGAGCCGACTGGCTTTGAGCGCTGTTCTGCAGCGCTGCGGCGGGGAGGCGGTGGGGCGCGGCGCCGCCCCCGCCCCCGCCCTCCGGCGGGCCGCACTGGGCGGCGGCGGTGTGTTGTGGTCCGGCGCCGACCTTAATCGGACCCGGGCGGCGACGGCGGCGGGGCGGCTGTGATCGACCTCGCTCCTCTCCCGTCCTCTCCCGTCCGCACGCTGCTCTTTCTCCCGTCCCCAGCCGTTCCGCGGTCACTCCCTACTACCCCTCGTATAGGGGTAACACTGGCCGATCGACAGAACAATCGCGTCCGTTCTGCCCGTCAGGGCCGCGCCACGATGACCTTCAACAGCCCCTCGCAGGGGGAACATTGACAAGTCTGCAGATGAATCCAGAGCAGCGTCCGGCGCACTGTCCTTCGAATGGATTCGATTGGCCGGCATACATCCACGCTTCTTCAAAATATTTTCCATTTATGCGTCAATAATGCGCAGAAGGATCCGCAAACACACCCTTTCTAAAAATCGCAGTTCACGGAAGGAGATATTAGGAGACCTGCCTAAAACCGGCGCAGTCTTGTTCCTATCACTCAGCTCCTCCAAATCGTGGGGTCTCAGTGTCACTGAGCGTTAAATCACGGGTTCACGGTCACCTGAGGCCACCGCGGACAGTGGGTGCGGCGCGCGGCGGTCGCAGCCAGACGTCACCGAGGACGCGGCGGCATTGGCCGCACCTCTGGCCCGCGGGGCGCGTGCACCGGTGCCCGGTGGACGGCGCCGGCTGACTCCCGATCATCCTGCAGCTCGGTACTTGCCTGTCCTGTCCTGAGAGTCACGCCTGCATGCCGTGGGATGGCCGCAACTGAGCGTCCCGTCCCGACAACACCACTTGGCGAGCTCAGACGACTGAGCGCTGGTTTATGTCGAAACAAATAAAGAGGCCAAGAAGTGAAAAGGCACAGGAAATAGGCTTTCAGAATGCAGAGATGCAAGCAACAGCTACTAGCTAGGAATATGAGTGAATACAACTGTTTGTTGCAAATATAGGCCGCTTTCAATTCCACCAGCACCTTGTGAAATAGGCCTCTTGCACATTGTGAGTATAATTTCAACGGCCTTTAACAATGGTCTATTGATGAAGCAAAAGAGGTGAAGTAAACATTTGCCCAAGTCTTCTGCCTCAGTCTTGCAAGCAATACGCTGTTCGAGCTCAAGGGCGTCCGCTACTTAGCTTGGCACGCTCATTGCAATGCTGAAAACCGAGCCTACTCAGCCGGCTTCAACAGCTTAGGAACTTCCTGCTTCGTGTGAGATGAGCTACCATGTGACGTCACTTCTGACGTACTGTGACGTCACAATTGACGCCATTCAATTGTGACGTCAATCACCACCATTGGTCAATGTGCTACGTAGGTAACAGATCAACTCTCGCTCTCCATAACATGAAATCTGCCAAATGTCAACTAATGATTACTTGTTTCGTGCTAGATCTTGCTGAGTCAACCGGTCATGAGCGAATCCAAAAGTGGGACGCCTGGAGTCGGAATCCAAACCGACCCTGCAGGAGGGCGGAGGTATCCGCGAAGGCGACCTACGCCAGACGCTGGAGCCGCAGAGACTCGAGTGAATCACTACTGTGTGTGCTGCAAAACATGTGGTTGCCCCCCCCCCCCCCCCCCGTTCTCTACGGGGAAACGTCCAAGGGAGTAGTAAAGTAATCTTGGTCCAAGGTAGCTATTTGCCAACCTTCCATTCCATTTTAGGAAATTTGCTAGCTTCACCGAAACGTAAGTGAATATTTAGAACTAATTACTCAAACTCGTTTGCTTTCTCGAGGAAAAAAGCCATGATGGAGTAAGTAAAACGCTAAAAATGGGTCTCAAAATTGGACTATTCGCATAAGACAATTACATGTTTTTAACAGAAAATGATAAGATATCATTAAAAACGCAACGCAGCCCACAGCTGTAGCCCACACTTATTCAACACTTACACTTATTTTGTTTCGTCACCGAAAAGTCAGGTATGTATTTTCTATGGGTCTTTATGTATAGCTGAAATGGTTCACGTTCCACCCATCCATAAGTATTTATGCCGTTTTATTGTGCAGCGGTCAGTATTGCACTGATGTTGCACGCTGCACAATAGCATACCTATCGTATACTTCCTATCGTATACGTCCTATCGTACACGTCCTACGGTATAGGTATACGTCCTATCATTATAGAAGATGCATTTTCTTTTTCCCCAAAAAGCAGTGTCCCCATATCACCATTTACCGACCATATGTTCTTTGTTTGATGTGACAGTGACGACCAAATCACAGTATCTCAATGAAACTCTGTGTTCTGTTTCATGTACCGTTCGTGGCTGGGATATGCGCTGTCTTCCTCGGCTCGACTACTATTCATGGTAAGTCATACTTCTAAGCATGTATCGTTTTCGTGTTGGCGAGGCTATTGTCTGTCAATTCTTCAGCATTTTGCTTTGTGTATTGTTGTGTGGGTTTGTACAGATTTAGATGAAAGGTTATACCTATGCCATAATGCCCTTTATGCATTTCCTTACCGTTTATACATCATGAAATGATATTATGTCCCATGGAAGAACAAAAGCATGGCTGGAGGCACACACTGAACGGTGCAGTCGAATTGAGATATGTTATGACAATTTAATACCAAGCAAAAAGTTTCACGCGGAAAAAGTAACTATTCAAATTTTTCACTGATGTTCCCTTGAATATGCCACATAAATGTAGCCACATTGCTACTATGAAGAACCATCGACTATGATACGTCACTGTCATAGGGAAAGGGAACGAAAAGCTTGTAGTCATTGGACTACACGCTTTGCATGTAGTCCAATAAACACGCCCAGTTGCCATCCATTGTTGAAACTTTAATTTCTGTTTCACATTTCCATACCAATTTTAAATGTTAACTCTCCCTTCAAAAACTCATTACGTGCGCATTTGCGTAAATCTTCGATGAAAAAATGAATAGTAAGATAAATTCCTTACCGTATAAACCATCAAATCATTAAGATCTAAACGCATTCATGTGTAACAAAGAAGAGACAGGCCACAGTCAGATTGGTATATTTGTATGACACAAATTGAAGATCACTTTGACATTGGATTGCATCCACCTTTCAATGAACAATGGCGCCACGACATCAGTTGTACATTTTTCACATGTGACCAGCTAGCAGCACCGTCCACGGTGAGGCTCCCGGCAGCGTGACCGATATATAGCAGAGCGGTGCCGGCCGGCCGGCGCGGCGGTGACCGGCGCGGGGTCACCGGCTCGGCCGGCCGGCCGACTGACCCCCGCCCGGCCGGCGTCACCGTCCGGTTCATTGACATGTCGCTGTGAGCGACGGCACCGGGTCACGCTGTCTGCAGAGCCGCCGCGGACCCGGGACTCGATTCACCTAGCCCGAGACGGGGCTCAGCAGGCCCGGGCACACCAGGTCCATGCACATGATGAGCTCGCGGCCGCGGCTGTCGCACTGGTTCAGGATGTTGTTGTAGTTGGACTTCTCTCCGCCGCTGATGCTGTTGCTGCGCTGGATGATGGAGCGCAGTGCGTCGGTGTTGAGGAAGCGCCGGTTGCTGAGCAGACCGAGCTTGTTGGTGATGCAGGCGTACAGCAGGAACTTGCCCTTCTGGCGGCGCAGCTCGGGGGACAGGTGGATCACCGACTGGCCGCACTCCTGGTACAGGGTCTGAGTGATGCCGCCGCCGCGCTCCTTCTCCACCAGACGGAAGCAAGGGTGATTCTTGAAGGCTGTGGAAACGAGAAAACGGTCGTTAGGACGAGCAGACAGAATTCACCTATGGATCCTGCATCGTGTTGCATCACTTTTTGATGCATAACTGATACAAGCAAGCCCAGAAAAACGTAGAACTGATCAGAAAGCAAAGCAAAGTGTATATGAGGAATCTTTTCAACATCTTATTGTCATCATATCCTTGCATACTGCTATGAAGCAATTGAGAACATGTTCATCAAGGCTTAAACGACCAAAGAAGGCTTTGTTTCATGTCACAATGCCAGCTGGAAAACCCATCTCATAAAATCAAAATGTCAAAAACTGTGTGTCCATTCTGACCACGTACAGCTATTTCATGAACCATGACTGCAATCAAAATTCTTAAAAACCTGGATTCAGTTAATGGAAAACCACCGCTTTACTTATATGATCATCGGTATTCAGCTTCCCAGCGCTGCATTTCGACAAAAGCGTTACTTTCGCCATCGACTAAAGGTCTTGCTGGTCGGGAACAGGCTTGAGGCTTCCACTTTCGCCACTAGCCACTGAATGACGCCACCGATGGCGGCTGCCGCCGCCCGGAGGCCAGTGCCCCGCCGGTGCCCGCTCCCCTATGACCCCGGGTCACTCACCGTCCAGCTTGACGGGCAGCTGCTGTCCGGAGACGAGCGCCACGGCGGCGCCCATCAGAAGCACGAGACGCAGGCTCTGCATGATGAGGATGCTGTCACTACCCGACTGGGATCGCTGCTCAGCGCACACTGACGCCTCCACCGCGCCGCCGCCGCTTATATACAGAGAGCGAGCCGGCGGCGGCGGCGGCGGCGGCGGCGGCCGGTCCGAGCGGGCGCTCGCCGCCGCCCGCCGCCGCACCGTACGCTCCTGCACAGAACGACGGCATCCGAACACACCTACCCCGGGTAATCCCGACCCACCCAGACACCACGCGCACTCAGAGCAGGTCATAAGGAAGAGCGGGAGGTCATAATTTGAGTCCTAACGACCACGCTTGAAGGCAGAGCACATGGTTTAGAGCTGAAGGCTTGTTAATTAGTGTGTCCGGGTTTGTTTAGGAGAAACACAAAATCATCTTGGTGTGAGAGTATCATATCCTTCTTTCTATCCAAACTCGCCTTCAAATGTACCTATTTGAACGGAAAAGAATCGCTTTTATCGCTGGAGACTGCACTTTTGTATCATCCACCATCACGGATAGTGTTATCTTTCAGACCGTCACACTGCAACCGAGTTGAGAAATTATGGTCACGATTTTATACCACACGCCGACCTTGTCCAGGATAATGAATGCTAATTACTCTTCTCATTTTATATCCACGTAACTACCTACATGCAAAGCAAGCGAGCTTTACAGTTTACATTTCCATCCTCTATAGGTAGGTGATCCTTTGGATTGCGAATAGGTACTGACTTTACGTCATGGGATCCCAAAGTGTATCAATCTGCAGACAGTAGGTATCCTATCGGCGGCGCTGCAGATCGCGTATTTCAGTTTAAAGTTTTTAAAAAGTTAATTTTAGACGTACAGGTATACAGACCAAATGGGTGCTCCAAATTTGTCAAAAGTGGAATTAAAATATTTCAGTTAAGAAATAATCGTTTAAGCGGCTTCATGTGTTATCTTTACCCGTGTAATTACAAAATCCTTCCGAATTGCATATTCCATACGTTGATGGCCTCTCGAGATTTTGTGAGGCATTCGAGCTAAATCGCTCAGCAAAGTGGCCAGTGATCGGCAGTGACCGTCACCTTCAGCACCTTGGTCGGTGATCCGGTGACCCATGACTGTTACTTATGTCACTCTAGCGACCGTTGACCGCCGCGCCGGCCGGCCGCCTCTCTGGTGACCGTGGCGCCAGTGACCCGTTGTTTCACCCATGAGCCCGCCTCCTCCCGGACACACACACACGGACACGCATCTGTGACGCAGCGGGCACCCGTCATCTCCCGTCCGAGCGCCAGCTGCTCTTGCGTAACGCGATCCGCCGCGCGCGGAAATCCCGCGAGGATCGCGTTCCGTCATCGCTCTCGGGAGCGCGCGGCTCGCGGTGGCGGCGCCCCGGGCGCGGTGCGCACCGCCCGGCCGCCGGCCGCGCCGCCTGTTTACCTCGGCCGCCGGACCGTGGAGGTAACAAACAACGCAACTGAACGGCGGTGGGTGGCGGCCCGCCCGCACATCCACCACACACCGGGGGGAACCGGTGCGGATACTGATACCGTATGGACAAAGCCGTCACAACAATGGCAGCAAGGTCAGGCGAGTGGACAAGATCAATGTCAGTTGTGCGGGCTTCTACAGTGAGCTGCCAGAGCAGTGACGTGAAACTGAAGACCCCACGGGTTCGTGCGGCGGTGGGTCTGTAGGTGACGCACATGAAGGCCTTGATAGAGCACGCGCAACGCAAATATCGCACCGCAAGAAACCCGACACCGGGCCATCGCCGACCGGTCGCAATCCGTAAGCGGTTGTCTTGTTCTGACACATCAGCTCAATGGACTGAAAAAAAAATAAGAGTAGTGAGTACTTACCTATTCCAATTAAGAACGGCAGGTAAGAGCAATCCTTGGCCTCTAAAATGAAAATCCAGACCAACGAATTAAATGGATGAGATTTGTTAAATCTATGAGCATTTAAAGCAACTGCTTCGAACAAGGAGAGTAAGGAGGCCGGCTTAGTGACGCTTAGCATTCATCTAACCTGTATTGATCTGTCAAGGAACGAAGCATTTCCTCCTTGACTAAGGCAACCAAACGATATAAAATGTACGTAAATATAGCTTGAGGACAAAACGACTGATAAGAAATTAAATAAAAGCACGGCTTTGAAGTCAGCATGCCTATTGCCTAGCTTATGTGATACGCTAATTGTTACATGGATATTCCGACACCATCGCTGAGGCTTGGCTCGTGGAAGCTCAAGGCTCGACAAATATCCAAGCTGAAGCATCCGTGTTAGCTGGAAACGGGGGAATTCAAACTGGCGCCTCATCACACGCCAACACATTTATATTTGCTTTATCCCGTGAGTGGTTCCCTGTGTATGTATTCGCTATAAGGATGACGTGCTTGATATGTTGAAGCTCACGATCCTCCTAAAAAGCGCCGTTGTTTGTATTTTGTTATGCAGCATTTTGATCCTAATTCCGTATCATCCGTATCCTCAGCTTCCGCAACGGAAGTATTAATTTTTGAAATATCATATGTGCTACACAGTCACGTAAAAATCACGTAAAAATCACATATTTTCAGGATGTGTAACATTCACAACACCTGTTCTGCTAATGATCGCACAGCATCCGGCGCCCACTGAGGACGTACCCCTCCTGTTTCAGCGGTGTGCAGGCAAGGAGACGCCGGCCTACTCGATGGCCAACAGGCACGAGGTGAAGGTGAAGAAGGTGGTGCCGGCGCCCAACGAGTACAACACCAGACAGATGACCTACAAAGGTCAGTGGCGCCGCGCCGCCAGGCTGCTGATGGGTGCAGGGCTGTCCCGGCTGTGTTTCTGCTCCGTACCGGAGAAACAAACATGAATAAACATAACAAATATTATTGAACCACTGGGCACCTGGCAGGGATCTACTTCAAATGCTATCAATTTGATAGAATTTGGTGCCTCATTTTCAACCTCAAACAGAAAAGTAAGCAGCATACTTCCCAATGCAATATGTATAGATAGACGATTTCCCTGAGATAACGAAACTTTAAAGCAAGAATATACACGTCTGTCTCTAACGACACAATCACCGGCCTTTCTCACTCTTCTAAGAATTGCTTTGTTCCGATGCAGCGTTTTGAAAACCAGTTCTTCCGAACTGATCTCTCATTGTGACGCGTCGAATTGTGTATGTCCCAACTCTGGTCCAATGTTACAACAGGCGGCGGTGCAGCCCGCCAGATTAGGCATTTTCTGGTTCTCTCTGGTGTCAGACAGGCTCTGCCGGTGTGTCTCGGTGACCCTTTGTCTCCATGTCTCTGTCTCGCTGTCTCTCTCGATGTAATGCCACGTAAGCAGGTGTCGTGTTCAGCTCGGAGAGCTGGGAAAACCGGCTCAAAATCTGCTCACGATCAGCCGGTGCTCAGCACTTCCCCGAGCTCAGCCAGACATTGTTCCAGAGTCAACAGTCATCTGACCGATAGTCAGAGGAGCCGTGGCTCGTCAGGGTCACACTAGAAATGTAATATTCCAGCACAGGAACGGTCAACGGAGAAATATCGACGCCGCTTTCCACAGTAAAATGTTTAAAAATATTTTTAAGACCATGCTACAGCATTGGTTTTACTCGAATGATAATCCAGTTGGTCCGATGCTTCGAATGATCATCTTTACGTCAGCTTCGAAGAATAAAACTGTCTTTCTATTCCTTACGATCGTCCTAAATTCGCCGTGCTATCCCACGATTAGGACTGGCCATTAACTACCTACTCCTGAGTTATGACCAGCCGACAACAGTGGAGGGGCGACGAGGTGACTGACCGACCCCCGACTCCCCGCGCAGGAAAGGACACGGCTCCGGCACGCACCATCGCCGCCAAAATCCGCGACCCCAAGGCGTTCCAGACGCCGGCGCCGGGCACCTACGAGCCCAAGGATGAGGACGACTCGCCTCGCTACAGCTTCGGGCTGCGGCCCAACCTGGAGAAGCCCAACACGGTGCCAGGTGGGTCTGCGACTGCCTCCCTTCACAACCCCGCTAACATCCCGGGACAGAACTGAAGCCGGCCCGCGCTCGCAGTGCGTATGGGCTACCCGCTAAGAACTGTGAACAGCCAGAACTTGAGTATCCCAATCAGCCTAGGTCTGCCCCCTCCCTTTCATAACTATGACCAGCCCGAGTCTATACGTTACCCCCTCCTGCCCTCCTCCCCCACTCTCACTCTCCGTCCACGAGCTGTGACCAGTCGACAGAGGAAAACGCCACCGCGCGCTGACCTCGTTCGGCTTTACCGACCGTATCTCAATCGACATTGTTTCGCGGCGCGGCGCCGACAGCCGGTGAACAATGATCGCAGCCCAGTTGCCCAATTTGACATGAATGTGCACACAGCAACAAGGACATATCGGGGAAGACTGGAAACGGGCTCGAAACCACCCGTTCGATATTCTTACGATCGATTTGATAAATTGTCCTTATTGAAATGAGGATTTAATCGAAGTTACGATTTTATGAAGGTTGTATGACAGTTCAAGGCAAAATGGTGATAAAATATTTCAGAGTGCCAAAATGGCCCAAGCTTTTAAAATATGCTTCTGTCAATAATATCAGGATGCAATGTGTAGCACTTGCTCTGCCACATTTCCTTAAGTTGCCTTTATCGTATGTACCGTCAAAGCAAATCGCATGTTTACGGTCGCCGTTGACGTTTTTCATCAAGGTTACTTCTTCCTAGTCGAGAAAAGTCCAGCCAGTCATTTCTTTGTAGCTTCATGTTAAGCACGATTTGAGTGATCCATCAAGGCTAGGTACAAAGCGAGGGGAATGAAAAAGGAACGATTTTATCAGAAAATACATCTATAAAAATATTCCTGTTACGTAAATGTTACATAAGAGCTTGGAGGGAACGCCTTTGTTCAATGAGTTATGTCAGTACTTCTTTTGTTATCCTAGATAATCCATTCCGTTTATGGTAGGGTGCCGATTTTTGCCCGGAGTTAGTGTCAAAAGGCTGAAGCAGTGAGTCAGGAGACCCATATAAAACGAGCACATTGCTGGAGTCGTTAAGTACCACAATGCTGATGTAATTATGGATACTTGCAACTCGGTAAATCATATTGCATGAAATACAGTGAAGTGTGCACTGTGCTGTTTCACACGGCAGCCAAACCACTCATCCCGTGCTATTGCCTATTCACTCTACACTGTTCCAACTAATCAGTCCTAACCCGCGTCCCGCGGTAACCACTGCGGGCAAGGCTGAAACTAACGAGACCAATAAACCCAAATCAGCAGTTAATTCCAGCAACTGAGTCGTCACCACCCCGGCACCATGTATGGGGTCAGTTTCCAGCAGTCTGTAGTGAGCTCCGTGTACCGCCGTGAGGTGCTGGGCGGGACAGGCCCACTGTATGTGACCGGCTCCGTGTACCGCCGTGAGGTGCTGGCCGGGACAGGCCCACTGTGTGTGACCGTGACCCGTACTGACTACTGGGAACATCGACCGCTCCGCGCGATCGGGCCGGTCCGCTCGGCGGCGCAGGCCAGCGCGCCCCTGACCTTGGCTCATCCCTCAGCGCCGAATGCCTACGAAATTGATGACGAGATCGGCAAAGATTCTCCCCGGTACTCGATGCCGGGACGTGCGAGCGACCCCAAGACATTCAAGACGCCCGCACCCGGCGCATACGATCCTAAGGATGACGAAGACGGCCCTCGCTATAGTTTCGGACTGAGACCGAACCTGGAGAAACCTGATGGCGTGCCAGGTCAGTTGCCTGTAAAAGCAAAAATAAGTGGATAACATGTCCAAAAATGAATGTCTAGCCGCATTTTGAGGGCTGCAGAATATTTCATAATGCAGATTTTAACGTTCGCAGCCGATTTACTTTTCCCGTGCACGGCAGAGAGGTGGGAAAAATTGTGAATAGCCAGGTTCTAAGAGACAGGAACAGAGTGTCGTGTGTTCATAAATCTTCTGGTGCAGTGTAGAGTTCAAACTTCAAACCGTTGAAATTTGAAATGATGTGCAATGTCCGTTCTGAAGTGAGATCGCTTGGCTGCGCATGGGCATGTCCAATGACAACGAAAGTTCGAAACACCAATCAGAAATTAAGGGAGCACAGCACAGCAGAAAAAGATAACTCAGTAATCGGCAATCAGAACACAGAGGAATCAAGAACAGATGAATTCGTAATCGAAGACTTATTCGAGGCTGTTGGCTATAAATGGGTACGAGCTGTGAAGAATAAGATAAAGAACTAAATAGACAAATCCTGTGGAGGATAAAAATCAAACACAATATTACTTGACAAGTCTGCTGATAAAACAGCCTCTCACACAGAACCCCTAGCAGTTTGTCCCAATTGACGATTGTCCCTCCAGCTCAAACGTTGCCAAACGTTGCCTCCAGCTCTCTCCATTGCCAAACCAGGAAGGCGATGTCGAGCGTTGACCCCCAGTCGGGTCTCCTGGAGCCTCCTGTCTGGGACCTTCACCTCGCACGGCGTTTCACGACCTTACGCAGACAGTTATTAGCCGCGCTAAAAGCGTGCGACTAAAACCAAATGACTACATTAACTAGAATTACGCACTCGATGCGGTCGATCCGCTTCTCCCGTACTCGCTAACGGAACGCATCTGACGTTAATCGTTTCGTTTCTCAGCGCCAAATGCCTACGAGATTGATGGCGAGATCGGCAAAGACTCCCCCCGGTATTCGATGCCGGGTCGTGCAAAGGACCCCAAGGCGTTCAAAACGCCTGCCCCCTGCGCATACGATCCCAAGGAGGACGAAGACGGCCCTCGCTACAGTTTTGGACTGAAGCCCAACCTGGAGAAACCGAACAACGTTCCAGGTTAGCTCACAACTGTGGTTATTATTCAGAGGCTGCACTGCACGCACGCGTAGGGCAGCTTTTCAGACACTTGCAGTTAGAGTGTCGTCTAATAGAACAAATGCACCTCGACCATGCAAACTTCAATGCATGAGGGATTTACAGCAGCTTTATCTTTCGGCATTATCTCCCGTTTAACGGGCGATGGGAAAAGGCGACAACTCATGATTGTTATGCAGAAATGGCTCCCAATCTGAAATATTTGATGGCGACGGGATGGGAGCACACGTCATAAGAGCACAAAATGATTAAGATCACTGCCCGTTGATGAGCAAAACAGAATAGACATATCGTTACAACCTAATATTACACAGTCAACTTCCATGTCGCTTATCCACAGCTCCGAATGCCTACGAAATTGATGACGAGATCGGCAAAGACTCCCCCCGGTACTCGATGCCGGGACGCGCAAAGGACCCCAAGGCATTCAAGACACCCGCACCCGGCGCATACGATCCCAAGGATGACGAAGACGGCCCTCGCTACAGTTTTGGACTCAAGCCCAACCTGGAGAAACCGAACAATGTCCCAGGTGGGTGGTGTTAATTTACATATGAATTCAACACTTTATTGTCGTTCGTTCTAATTCATGATATCATTATAAGGCAGTAGCACCCGAGGGCATCGCAATAATTATAACTGACGATGAAAGAACTGCTACAGCAATTATTTGAGTTACGGGATATAGCAAAAAAGATGTGGTATCACTAATCACTGCAACGCATCTGCAACGATGATTGGAAATGCAGAGCTCCAGTACCCATTATTATTCAATTATGAATACTTTCAGCGCCGAATGCCTACGAAATTGATGACGAGATCGGCAAAGACTCTCCCCGGTACTCCATGCCGGGGCGCGCAAAGGATCCCAAGGCGTTCAAAACGCCTGCCCCCTGCGCCTACGATCCAAAGGAGGACGAAGACGGCCCTCGCTACAGCTTCGGACTGAAGCCCAACCTGGAGAAACCCAACAATGTCCCAGGTCAGTTGGAGAGGCAAAATCCATTGTCGTCCTTCGTCGCCCTTCATCACACTTGTTCGTTTGGGGTTGACGTTCACCCATCCAGACAAACGCGGAGAGTGGTCTCAATAGGAGCAACAGCATGTTACTTTTGGACAACCGTCGCTCGCAGCGGCCGGGTGAACTGCTCTACCGTGACACGCCTGTTCTAACAGAACAGGATGGGATCAGCCTCTGCGGCCATGGTCCAATCAGCTCTACACCTCTCCTTTCTCCTAACATCTTACCGTCCTCAAAAGATACCCATTGAAAGGGCCTGAACTAACAAGACAAACACAAAAATAAGACATTACCAAGTCGTGCACTCCACCGGCCTCACCTTCCCTACCTATCTGACCTCACTTCACGCCGGCAGCCCCCAACGCCTACGAGCTCAGCGACACGATCGGCGAGGAGTCGCCCCGCTACTCGATGCCCGGCCGCGGGAAGGACGTCGTCGACGAGCGCACCAAGTTCCCGGCGCCCGGCCAGTACGAGATGGCCAAGGCCGAGGCCACGCTGCACAAGAGTCCGGCGTACACGCTGCGGGACCGCACAACGATCCCCACCGACCGCACGCAGAAGCCGGCGCCGAACGCCTACAACGCCGACGACAAGGTGGGAAGGGAGCTGCGAGGGTGTCAGAGAGGATGTGGGGATGTTGAGGGAGGGGAGAAGGAAACTTCGAGGGATTCGTGGCGGATGTGGGGATGTTGAGGGAGATCGCTGGACAGTGAGGTCCTGGCAATTACTCGGGCATTTACTCGCAACTGAGAGAGGGGAGAAGATGTAGGAGAGCGAGGTAAGAGGGAGAGAGGTGGGAGGGAACACAGAAAGAGTATAGCTGAGTGTCATGACTGCTGTTCAGCGAGCTGCCGGTGAGTTCAACTTCTTGCACCTGAACTTTTCTACCCTCTCCACAGAAACTCAAGTCCCGCGACCCGCAGTACGCGTTCGGCATGAAGCACTCGCCGTACGTGGGCTCGTTCAAGCCTGGGGTGGGCGTCGGCACCCCGGACCGGAGCGTCGCGCTGCAGACGTCGGCCGTGAAGCCGACCGACAAGGTGCTGCGCGGCGGAGAGGTGGTGCGCGTCACCCCCGAGGGCGTCACGTGCCGCTGGGTGGACCGCGGCCTGTCGCCGCGCACCAACGGCACCACCACGCGCACCACCGAGACGCGCACCAACGTCGACGGATCCACCACCACGCGCGAGACGGTGCGCGTCCACCGCACGCTCGAGATGAGCCGCTGAGGGCGGCGGCGCGGCGCAGGGTGACGGGATTAGGTCGGGGGACCAGGGTGATGTTGCAGGACGCTGGAATGTGGTCGGAGGACCAGGGTGGGGTCAGGAGGAGAGACAGAGCGGAGTGGTCGGCCGACTGCACCCGCTGTACAGAGCCAGTGTGAGAGAGGTCAGCCGCGGTTAGGAAGCGCTGAAGGACGGCGGACCGACCGCCACCGGAGACGCGGGAGGGACGGTGGTTTCTTTGTAGATGTCTGAATGTGTCGGGTTGGGTTGTGAGCCATTTTTAATGCCATCGGCTATTTGTTAACAAGACGATTAGTTTCAATTGTAGAGAAAATAGTGCCACTTATTTTAAAACACACAAGGCAAAATTGAGAATGGAAGCAAGGAAATATGCCAAAAACACTTAAAACAGCATTCACTAAATTAGTATGTTCTTACTGCGAAATTGTAAACAACAACAAACAAATAACATCACTATAACACATAATACTAATAATTAGCTTAAGAATAAAAGTGGACACGGACAGGCAGATGGAGCACATGTCTCCGTCTATATTGGTTTAAACCCAGGTAAGATGTGGCAAAAAAAATTGTCAAAATCCTGAATGACCATTATTATATAGAGCTAGCTATGATTAAGTTAAATGCATAGCAAGGTGAGGCCAAGGCGCCGCGAAGTGAATAACTTTTGCTGTGATATGTATTTATGCGTTTGGAGTTGGGCAAACCTTAGCTTCGGAAGTCTTGTGTGTAACAGGAACGTTTCTTTAAAAGATAACTTTCAAGGACCACTGACGAAAATAATCGGGACGCTAGGACTCGTGATATAAGCACCTCTTTCTGCATCGAAACTTGACTCATTTGAAGACAGCGCCTTGTTCGCCACCTTGCCCGGCGAATGTAGGACTGTCCAGTGTCCGATCCATGGCAGGAACGGTTTAGTGCCGGGCACGCTTTTGTTTGGTTCCCTTTCGACAAAAAGAGAGTTATTTTTCGGTACGGAGCATCATCACACTCCGCTGTCGTGCCGTTATAGTGAACAGAAGTCTGCCGGCTGTCAGACCGCGTAATCAATTCAGAGAACGCCCGTTTGGAATGAAATATTTACAACCTTTTGATATCAAATATTTTACATAAACAACATCAACCGTCCACCTGTGACCGTATGCAAAGTGTATTCAGTCGGTGTAAAATAAATCGCCGCGTGTTGGTGCCTAACGGACGCGCTGCGTCGAGTTAGCGACAGCAAACACCCGTTCCTGGCCGTGCGCCGGCACTGATGGACGTGCAGCCCGCAGGGCGCGCCCGCCGAGCCAATGTCAGTGCAACGCTACACGCAGACATCTTATGTGATCAGGAACAGCATTGCATAGCTGGTTGAAGTGCTTGTGTCTAAGTCCTTGAACTCTGACGGCAGATTTTTGCATATGGGCTGCAGGTGCATGTGCAGAATTTAAATTCATGTCATTCTGCACATCAGCGGAATCGAGAGACTGAAATGATGATCGTCTTATGGGGAAGGCTAATGCTGGGTCTTGGTATGGACGTCCGATTCTTGTTCTTGCGTGGTGCGGTTGTAGCCGAGTAACATAGGTCTTAGTCACCGGTCGTAGTGTCTTGCGCCTATGACGTAATAACGCGCTCAACTTGTTTTTCTACGCACAATGACGTATTGTAACAATGACGAATGTCTAATTGGAGATAGAAACTGCGTTGTTGACGAGTTGTTCTGCTGGATCATAACAATGCATACGTCAGCGCAGCTTTTTTATACGAAAGGTGAAAAAGTAACGATAGAGGTGATAGTTGCTGTTAATGTGCGCGAGATCCCGTATTGCGTCACAGAACCAGCTTTTGGATTTCCTGAGAGCTCGCCTGAAACGTCATCTTACGTGTGTGATTCAGATGAATTTTCGGGAAATGTAGCCTGTGTTTATGGGTAGCAGCGTCTTATTGCGTAACAAACGGATGCTTATCACTTCCAGTTGTCGGCGGAGAATGGGAATCGAAAGACAAACGTGTGATAGCGATAATTACCTGAAATGTGTTTACGTGGTACTAATATATAGAGCGTATTTCTTTGTAATCTCTGTCTCTTCATATCCGGCTCCGCATCATCGAACAACAACCACAGCAATGGCAGCATTATGTAATCTAGCAGAGACAAATTACATAACATAGCACACCCCTGCACAAATATACGAAGAGAAATGTCGCACTTGAAGGGGGTGGGACGATGCTCGGTTTTTCCGTGGTTTTCTCAAAATACTCCTTCCGAACAAGCGACGGACTAGAAACACCCACACAAAAGTACGGCAATGACAGCATTAGGCTTTCCTTTAATCGTCTTTCCACTAAAGATATTGTGGGGGAAATCAGAACGTATACCCTCAAGTAGAGGAGATTACAAGTCTGCCGGGTTGCTCTGACCGGGGCAATGTCGCCAACACTCTGCAGAGCAAACTTTAACACTCTTTTACACCAAAGGTATATTGGTCACCAAAGGAACACCAATGCCATTCACTTTGCAGTGCAAGATTGAAACCAAAAACACATCGACCAACATCTTATCGACAGGTCAAAGGATGGCTACAATAATAATTTGACGTTGTGGTCAAAACAGGGATGCGGAGCCGGAGCCGGAGTCGGAGCCGGAGCCGCCGGAGCCGGCATATTTTGCCCGGAGCCGGAGCCGGAGCCGGAGCCGTGAAACAATATAGCCCGGAGCCGGAGCCGGAGCCGGAGCCGCCAAAAAAGGGGGCGACTCCGGCTCCTTTTTATTTTTTGAAGAGGAAAAAAATAATTGACCTAGTTCGGTTTGACAGTACAAGGCAGTAAAACATATGGTACTTTACTTACGTCATGGGCCATCAAGTGAATGAAAAAAGCCGAATATCCCCAGTATCCCACAGTACGCAATCAACTTCTTGTCTGCTCCTCCCCCCCCCCCCACGTCTACTGCATCCCCAGAGCATGAGGACCGGTCATCAGGTGACGGCCATTGTTTTCAAGCCAGTGCAGTGGACTGCGACTCCCAGCACCGTCTCTTCCCCTCCCCCACCCCCCCCCCCCCCCCCCACTCCCACCCCCAATGCAGCCGAGACTGGTGTCAGCTTACGATGGTTCAGTGAACTCCAATTCGCGGCGACTGCGTTTCCAATGCCATCGCTTCCTAGTTCTTTGTTCTGCCAGTTCTCTCCGAGGTGCGTTTGCGCGGGAACGCGGTGAGCCGGTCATGGCAAAGAGTAACGCGTATAACCAATCCAATTTTTCTTCCACCCGTATTTAATTGATTGCATAGGGGATGTACTGAGTCGGAGCCGGAGCCGCCGGAGCCGGACCATTTTACTCGGAGCCGGAGCCGGAGCCGGAGCCGCCACAACATTTCACCCGGAGCCGGAGCCGGAGCCGGAGCCGATTTTTTTCTCCGGAGCCGGAGCCGGAGCCGGAGCCGTCTGAAATTTCCACGGCTCCGCATCCCTGGGTCAAAATATACCCAATAAGCTTCATCCAGAATTGTTTGTCGATGGTCACATACGTATGTGTTTGATGTTACCAGTGAACCACCATCTCGAGCTGAGAACCCAATTCTTTTCAACTCCGCGTTCAGGTTTATCTTATCCGTTTGCTTGTACATCCTGTTTTGTTTCTCATCTGTTTGGTGGGCTTCTGACCAACTGTATAGCTCCCCTGACCTTGTAAAGTTACAACCTGCCGTGGGCGATGGATCAGGCAGGAAAACATGAGCAACTGAGATGATAGCAGGGGTGCTACAGAGGGGCTGGTAGACCACTTAATCGGTACTCTGATAGCACGATCGGCGTGGTGTCGGGATTGTAGATCGTGCAAGTCGAACTCTCCCTGCCTATCACTTATGGTATCTTGGAAAACCCGAACACCTGATCAGTGATCATTCCAGTGTTGTCTTCAATCATTATCGGCCGCAAAAGGTTTGAGAATTAGCTCAAACATTATAGATGTTCGTACACTCGTGGAATTTTTACTTCAGGGCCAGTGTTCTGGTTGTTGGAAGGTGGGATTATACCTGTATTACCCAGACGGGTCTGTGCTGTAAGGATTTCTCCAGACGATTTTCACTCGAGTCTCCATGATATGAAAACACGTGTACGGTGTAGCTGTTTATCGTGGACTGAGTGGGCCTTGAAGCAGTGATCAGTTTTCTGCCGACTTCCGGGCATGCTTCACCTTGACCCAATCTTAGCGTCAAAAGCAGCTGCTGCCTTCATCATTTTGCAGATGTCACACAATGCCTCATCCTGCCCCGCCGCCCCGCACCGTTGTCCTTCACGACCCCGGCCACCACCCCATCCCTCCCCGTCGCTCCCCGCCGCTGGCCCCGCACTGCGAGTCATCCCAAAGCTGCGGTCCCCGGACCGATCCTCCGCAGAAGTCCAGCGCCTTCTGTCCTTCCATCAGCACACCGCGTAATACGGCGGTGGCCGTTTTTCTGGAGCTCAGTTGTGCCAGTGAGCAGCGTAAATACCACGGCCTTGATTAGGGTGGAAGGCAGACCATCCCGGTTCCTGTTATGTAAAATTGCTGCCCGCAGGTGCTTGTGGTCAACCAATGACGACACAGAACGAGGTAGCTTTTCTGCAGAAGCTGGATTACGTAACTGATATTTGAATACATGGTTTGACAGCGTTCTGGGGAATCTCCCTGACAAAAAGAGGCTTAGCTTAATCTCAGTTATTCCTGTATTATTACAGTGAGTCAAAGACCAGCGAAAAAAAAAATCCGTTCTTGTGCGTTGACTCATACATAGATGAATTTGTATCGACAATACTGTCCAGCATTGCGATTTACATGAAAACGTACAGCGATAAAAAGAGGCAAAATTTGTTGGAGAATGATTCCCTCACTCGTCCAAAATGGACATTGGACTATTAATAACCATCTTTTCTACGTTAGCTATTACTTAGGACTGAAAATGGCTAAAAGGTATAGATGAGAGACTGCAATTACATGACAAATCTACCTGACGCTAAAGGCCATGGGCCCGCCGATATAGACGAGAAAAAAAGAAAATACTAAAACAATGTTGACCGCAAGTCTACAGGGCCTCGCCGGAGAAAAAAAAAATCAGCCAGTGCACTTGGCGGCTGACTTTATCGTTGGACATACCTACGGACTATGGAGCGTTGCACCATCGCAGAAGGAACTGCAAATGAGCATGAGGCGCTAGCACTCAACTCAATGTCTTCGGAGCATCAGCACATCAAATTCAAATAGAAGCCATTTTTACCCAGCCAGCGACTCTGTGACATCGCAGCACTGACCACAAAAAGGAGGCTGCTATTCAAAGGACACACTGCAGTGCATGCTCTTCTGCTGGTTCTCCGTGGTGGATTTACAATGCAAAAAATGCCTCAGAGGCCATGTGGCATCGGTGTGGAGCGACAGCGCTGGCAGGCATCAGACCAGGCCACGGTGCACATTCAAGAATGGTGCATATGGGATAGTGCTAAATGTACGCCTGTTAGAGCATTAGTGCGGACACAAGCATCAATTAAAGCGGACCCGTGTTGAACCCAGGCTCCAAAATGGCTAAATGCTGACTCAGTTCTGTCTGCATGATTTGACACATTTTGATTTCATCTCTAAAGTGCCTGGTGACACACACCTGTAAATATGTATGCGCCTGGTGTAGCTTTAACGTGCGTCACCATCGATCCAGAAACCACTAAGGGATCCGAACGTTTATGCAGATGGATTCATGGTATGGGTAAGGATGATAGCATTTTGATAGCATTATTTGCGGCGTTCCGTGTCCCGTTTTCTGAGAACGTCAACACTCAGCACAGATCTTACGAAGAGCGGGGAACTACCAGGATGTATATACCTGGAGTCTCTGGGATGAGTCATGGTAACTTGACTGCCGAATTATTAGCATCCCGTCAAGGTGTTCAGCTAGACTAGGATGATTCATCAGCCAATGGGTATAACAAAACAAAACGAGGATTGAATAGCATGTACATTCTTAAACTGACCGTAAGTTCAATATTAGTTAACTTTGTTGGACAAATTTGCATTTATAAAAACATGCTGCTGTGCTCCAATGAGCATGCTGCTGCCACGACTTAGCATTTTCAAGTATTTAAATCGAGTGAAGATGTTATTCACGGAAATTTACCCCATGTTATAAATCTGTAGCTTTTCTAATTATATAGGTACGTGAGATCGAAACAGAGTTCACTACGCATCTTTGCAGTAAGAAAATGGAAAGTGAACAATGACAGGCGTACAAATGAAGCCGACTTAAGATAAAATCACCGTGAATGTACACCAGATCGGGTAGGTTTTACCGTGCAAGATAACGGCTTGGCTGTCTGGTTCCGGCCAGAGTTAAGTTCCGTTAGAAGAGAAATGCTCAGTCAACTCGCTACACATCTCATTCCCATTCCATCAAAACAATGCTTAACTTCCTCCTTCACAGGAACATCTAGTTATACCCACATTGTATGGTTATATCAATGCATACTTATACTTCCCCAGATATTCGTAATGTTTCGATGTTTTCAAGTGTTTAAGACTGTTTGGGACTCATTTCGGGTCACAATTGTATCACTTTTCATTCGGTACATATTCGTACCAGATATTAAGATATTGCTTAACACTTACAAGTACAGACGGTCTTGAACTCTTCGGGAAATTGGCAAGTATTTTTCAATAAGCGCACAATACGACAAAGGTAATTTATGTAGGTACTAAGATGGCGATTCGAGAAGGGGAACAGCCGGGGTAGTCATGGATCCCCTAAGGCCGCACGAATTTGTAGGACAAAATAAGACACAGGTGAAATCAAAGGCCCATATAGGCCATCATGATGGGTGGGTTGAGTATTTCATAACAAGCCAATCTGATAAGTGTCCATAACCGCCCGAACTGTTGCAACTGGGAGATAAACTGCACGGAAACGGGACCAACCAAACACGTTTCGGGGCAACTCAGTTTTTAAAAACTTGGTCCCGCTCTGATTGCAGATTAGATGGACGAAGTACCGTTGACTTGCATTATATCAAACTGAGCTGAAATGCGAGACCTGCTGCATTAAAAAAAAAAACTATAGAGTCACACATTTTGGTTAGGTAATGCATTAGTCTATTACCACATAATCACGCAATCAGCATTGAATGAAGTAATAAAGGGGTGGTAATTATTTATTTAGTTATTTAAGTAATCACCACAGGGCGAACCTCCATTGACAGGCGAACTGAGTCTCGTCACATGGGAAGGAGGCATGCCTCCAATCCCAAGTCTTTACGACCATTTGAATGTCTTTACATATGCCTCCAGCCTGTTTTATTGTAAATAAGTAATATCGAGCACTTACTCTAGAACTACATATAGTTACTAAGCAACTATAGGTATTGTACAGTGTACACACTGACCATCGTACGAGTAGAGTATTGGGTAGTGGGTCAGACATTGCGTGATGAATCGGTGAGTGGCGCACGGGTCGCCCGTGTCATATCTGACCCTCATTCCGAGAGTGACCTGAGATTGACCTAGGACACAGCATCAGCGAACCTCCACACGGGGTCATGAATCAACGATGATGACCTATTTAACGCGATGGATGGATGAGTTTTTACAACTGAAGCTTCTTTTCATCGTGGTGTAGCTACCTAAGTCCACTTCACATGGCCACTTGCGAGCAATTATGTCGATGCTTTTGAATAAATGTAGTCATAGACTGCTTGTGTCATTTTTAGGTAAGTAATTACTTATTCATTATAATAGCCTACTGTATGAGAAACAAACGTGATGACAGCAACGGTAAAGGTGAAAAAAAAAAGAAGTATAAACAGCTTCTGTATCTGAGGTCATGAAAGTATGGATTTTGGTCTATAGGGTGAATAGGTCAAAAACGCCCCCCTTAAGCGCGAAACCTACTGACACTCAACCCAACACAGATTACTCAAACCTTTGGGCACCATCATGTAGCTCATTCTTTTTACTACGTTTTGAGACCAAGAAAAGACACCTGCGTGTGGTATTTAACCCCCCAAAAAGGTTTTCGCATACCCTTACAAAAGGGCGTTTTGCCCCACACCCTGGGTAATACGCCCACACCCATGTGCAAAGCGCCCCCACCATATCAATCAACAGAACATGATGAACATGGCAGAACTTGACGTCATTCTGACGTCATTTGTGGTCAACCTATCATAGCCTTTGGAATAAAATTTTGTTACAATGTGTAAAATGGATACCCCGAGAAGTCCTGAAAGTTTGGTGACGATATCTACAGTCGTTTAGGATATATCAGCAAAAAAGGACAGGGAGAGGCCTTTTCGGCCCCGACCTACAGGGCGCTACCCTGCACTCTTACCACCGTGCAAAACGCCCCCTTTCAGAAAACTGGGGGCGTCTTGCCCCATGCATCGAGTAGGCGTCTTTCCCCATCCACTCCATTTCCGGTCAACAAAATATTGACAAAAAACGCGCCACTAACGCCCCAGCATAATAAATTCAACAGAATGACAATAAAACGCAGTTTTGAGTGATGTGCACAATAATAAGTTTTGTGATATAAAGAGGGCATCAAAATATTAGGAATCTTCTGTAAAAACAACAAAAACAACACCCAAAACCAACATCAGCACCTACCCACGCTGCTCCTCAAGACGCAGAACCGGAAATATAGAGACCTATCGTAAACAAGCAGCTGACTGTTCTGAAAAACAGGATAAAACACCTATCCGTCGATAAGAAATACGATTTTTTTAGGGGAGGCGTTTAACCCAGGGGTGCGTCTTCTAGAGATGTCAATAGGATACCGACTTTTTGGTATACCGATACCAAACCGATACCAACTTGGTATTTGGTATTTCAATCCTAATGTGTTTGGTATTTTGTTGGTATCATTAACCCCCACTAATGTATAAAAGGCTAAGAAATCGGTAAAAAAGTTGGTATTTCCCTCATGTTCCCAAGTTGGTTTGGTTTCGGTATTTCTGCACGGTTTCGGTTGGTATTTGGTTTGGTATCGGTATTCAGATTTTCCGTAACTGACATCACTAGCGTCTTCCCCACATTTACTAAAACTAATTTAGGGCCATGCAAATGAGAGGACAACGGAGGACCGCTGGAATAGTTTGACCAATTGGCTGTACCAATAGCGAAAGGCGAGCATCCCGGATGGGTAGGCAAGTATATGGGGCAGCTGAGCATAGATAATAGATATTCTTCACCTACCCCGCGGCGCCAGCTATCTGGTGGGTGTAATGACCACTCCGGGATAGGGACCTGTGATTAATGGCATGGTTTCTAAGGACGGATTAGTCCTGAACTCCTGAGGATAAAACGGACGGATGGATATACCTAAATAGGCAAATTTCAATCGCTACAAAAGACTCAAATCAAAATCTAAACCTTATACAGCAGGCATGGCCAACAGCCAACAGGGTCCAGGGACCCAGAATCGGCACCGCCAAACCACAACAGCAGAGATATCTAGCAGCTCACGTATGAAGCAGACCTGCTCAGCTCTGCCGCGAGATGTCGCAAGCCTACGGCCCACTTCGGCCCACTTTCGGGCGCCGCTCACCGAGGGCAGGCATCGGGCCTGGACCGTGACGTCACAGTGGATGGAGCGTGACGTCACGGTGTGTCGAGAGTGGGCGGCCGGCGGGTCGGGGCCGGCGCGGCGCCGAGACCGGAGGGCGCGGCACGCGGCGCGAGAGGTCGGTGTGAGTGGAGAGGATCACATTGGGCTCCCACGCCGCGCTGACCAGCTGAGGCCCGGCTGCAGAGCCGATATCGGCTGGATTCAGTGAACAGGTGAGACCTCTGTTGGCCCCGCTGACGCACAGCTGTGGCGGCAGGGCTGGCGGGGACAGTGGGAGGTGTCTCAAGTAACAGTAAGCGCCGGTGAAGTGACTCATTTTCCTGGTGTGCTGTGTGCTGTGGTGGGCGTGATCGCCTATAATGGTGAGACGGCTCCCTAGTTCTTGTCAGGATCTGGGGACATCAACATGTTTCTGAATAATGCTATTCATGTTTTGGACCAGCATGCATTGCATAGGTACTGCACAGTGCACGTGTTGCCCTTGAGTGTTGTTTACATTTGTCACATGCAGGCAGATGCCATGGTAGGTGGGTGGTGAATGTGTTCCTTATATTGTGATATGCTTCTGTTGGTGACCATTTGTCAGTGCAAAACAGTTTCGAAAACATAATGTTTGGAATTTATGTTGCCAAACAAAGTCAATGTCACTTCATCTCATGCCAGGTCATTGCTCTGCATCTGGGCCGTACTAAACAGTAGCTGGTGAACACATCGGCTTCTTACTGGGGAACTCAAGAGCCAACGCGTCATGGAAAAGTGCTATCGATGGCTCCATCAGCCCGGCATATACCCACCGATCTGACTGACAGCCTGAGGCCTGAGGAGAGGCCGGACCCGATCCCCCCCCCCCCCCCCCAGTCAAACACCAATGGTTCATATTGAGCCCCGCTAGGCAGCGTTTTCCACGAGACCTCCCGAAGCATTTTTTCGAGTTCAAGGTCGAGGTCAACTGTGAGGTCAATATCAGGTCAACGGTCAAAATTATGGGTTATCTGGCTCATGCCTGAGGCTTATGAACGGCGGTGCCAGTACCTAGTACCTACGCACTACTTACTGCCCGAAACTCAGCGATATTGACCTCAAAGACTTAGCAAAGATACCCTGAGATAAGTGTCATACTAACCACGGGTCAAGGTCAAGGTCAGGTCACAAAAAAGTTACTTTAAGACAACAGCGACCATAGTTGCGACTTGCGAACCCTCTTTAGGGATAGATTTTGCGCTTATAGTTTGGTGGTAGTGGTCAATGTTCATTCTGTGTCCTGATAGGTCCTGACCTAAGTTGAACATAAAAGCATAAATTCGAGGTCAATGTCATACCAGGTCAGGTCACAAAAGGTCACCTTTTGCTACGTGGTCACAGGACACATGACTAGCCGAGCGGTTCGGCCTCCAGAGCAGAAACGTGGAAGTTTTTCTGCTTTTTAACTCTATGCTTGTTTATTTATTTTATTAGCGTCCTGATTCTCTCCTCGAGCCGCGTCGAATGACCTGTGAATTCACATATCTCTAAAGGCCTAATTGAAACTCGAAAACTAGACCTAATGTCCAAATCATAACCTACTTGTAAACCTGGCCAGAAAAGCATGTAGGTAATACAACATGAGGTCGAATTTAATGGAGAATGTCACTGGGAAAAAAAAAAGAGAATGTCACTGGGGAAAGTCGTTCAAGGCCTTGCAAAATATTAACGTCAACCACCGCGTGAAGACAAAGACGAGGGTCAGGGGGTCTTGCACAAATAAAAGACATTCCACACACTGGCACTGCATGCAACACTGACACACGACGCAGCCATTGCTCATTGGATGAACTACAGTCGACACGGGGTTCGGTACGTTACCGATGGCGTGACGTCCGGTCCCTCGCTGTCGCTGACGTGGCAATCGGCTTTGTCTAGAAGTTGGAGTCGCTGAAACCTGGGGCACTAGCACTCCCGAGGAATTTCACCTTTATCACTCAACTCACGTCACGTCATACGCCGAGAATAGCCGCCACTCACTCGCCGTTCACACTATTCACGTTCGCACTGCTGAGCACCACCTCTATCACGCTTCCGATCGCTGAAATTGGCACTTATTTTCTTAGTGAGCATCTAACAATCGCCGCGACTTCACACACTCTCATTCAAAACAATCGGGCTCTCCGCGCGCCAGACGCGTCACCGCACAGCAGAAGTAGAATCGCCCGGGGCATTCACGCGCTGTGCTGAACGCTGATTGGTTGACCGAGCTCAATTGTTGCCATGGGCGAGCCGTCAGGGCGGGGGGGGGGGAGTGAGCAGCGCCGGACGGGGTGGGGCGGGGCGGGGCGGGGGTCGTTGAGAAATAGGCTGCATTGATGATGGAAGAATTGGGGCCGGGGCTATCATGCTGGTCAGACTCAGAGTAATGTTGTCGATTGTTGATCCAACAGCCTTTGGTGGCTCAGAGCCAAAAAAAGAAAGAAAAGAAAAACAATAGCACCGACCGTCTACTTAATACTTTCGCCGTGTTGTGACGTATTGAAGTGATGGGTCGTTCCCAGGACGCCATGTCTGCCGAGTTGCCGCTGCACGTGTCGCCGGAGAGCACGCCCCTCTGCACGGGAGATGGCGGCGCCTCGGATCAGGCCCGGCTGCTGGCCGCCGTCCGCGCCGGGCAGCTGCAGCTGGTCTCACAGCTGGCCAGCTGCCGTGACGTGGACATCAACCACTTGTGAGTGCAGTGCAGGCTGCGCATTGATGAGCCGCGAGCTGCTGATCGATGGTGGGTGGGCCGCGAGCCGTGATGGGGAACTGCTGGTCGGTGATGCGGCCGGAAGGGCGCAGCTAGCGCTCACGAGAGATCTGCCACTGAGTCACCAGCGCGGCGCGGCGTTGGGCTTAGTGGAGGGGAGACGTTTTATTTCATTTTAGCCATTAGTTTAGTTACTGAGAGTCTCGATTCAACATGGGGGAGGATTATATCCTCCCACGATTTTTTTTAACGTTACGGTTATATCAATGAATTTAGGTAGGTAAATAAAACAATCACCCAACCAACAATCAATTTTGGCGGTCGCCTGCCCTCGGCCTCCGCTCCGGCTGTTTGGGACTCTGGCAGGGCCGGTGTATTTACTGTCGAATCTTGACAGGAGGTTATTGCGTAACTGGGAACGAACGCAAACTCTGCTGAGTACTCGAGCACCGGTTTTATACCGGCTGTAAAATCAGCTCAGTTGTCTACGTGATATTCACACGGCGACTGTCATAGTTCCCTTTTTTTAGGGAGGGTGCAGTCCGCAGATTTTGTGTCAATAAGTATCCATGGTAGCGTTGCATCCGTCATTGCCAAGAGATGTTATTTGTTAATGCATCTTACACCTGGGAAATTAGGTATTGACGTTTTGTGTATATGTGATACAGAACCACCTAAGGCCTCTAACATTGTCACCCATCACGGTGTGACCCGCGCGTCACCCGTATCGGTCCGTTTCAGTTACGACTACCCGGACAACTGCACGTGCCTTCAGGCGGCCATCGAGGGCGGCCGGCACGATATAGTGGCCGAGCTGCTGCGCTGCCGCGCCGACCCCAACGTCTGGAACCCCGTGCTGAAGACATCGCTGCTCCATCTGGCCGTGCAGGTGGGAGAAACGCCGAAATGCTTCGTGTCTGGTGTCCTGAAATTTGAAAATGTTTGACGTAAACAATTTAATTCATACGATGTCAGAAATTGATTTTTTGCTCTCTCGTTCTTCTCCCAAGACGTTTCACTGGTTTTTATTCTTTTTATTTTATTTAAGTTTTAATAGTGACAACAATTTCCTTCCCGTTTCTTTTGTTTCTGAACACTGTGTTCCTAAAAATTACGCACTGTCATCGCTGCCCGAAATTGAAGCCACGGCAAGCGCACTTCACCGTGAAATAAATCAGTAATTAACTATGTTTAATTGTATCCGCCCCCCACAGAAGAAGGACCCGCAGTGTGCCGTCCTGCTGCTGGACCATGGCGCTGACGTTGCCACCAAGAACGGCAAGGGCCGCACCCCGCTGCACGTACTGGCCGAACGTCCGGCCGCCGATGACGCGGAGGCGGAGCGCTGCGTGGCGCTCGGCAAGGCCCTGCTGGCCCGGCCCACTGTGGACGTGGACGCTGCCGATCGCGCCGGCTGCACGGCTCTCTACCTGGCCGCCGCGTCCGGCGCAGACCCGGTCGCTCGGCTGCTGCTCAGCAACAACGCCGACCCGAGCTGCACCGTGGACGGCTGCTCGGCCGGAGAGCTGCTCCAGAAGCGAGGGGTGTCGCTGGAACCGGACCCCCAGCTCGCCGTCACTGCGCTCACCGGCCGCAGCGCGCAGAACGTGCTCTTCGAGGCGCTCCAGCAGCGCGACCTGACCCGCTTCGGCGCCGTTCTGCGCGACAACTCGCGGAACCGACGCGTCGTGGACGCGTTCCACGGCAACACGACATGTCTGCAGTACGCCAGCGACCACGGCCTGCACGAATACGTCGGACTTCTGCTGCAACACGGAGCAGACGTCAGTCTGGCCAACCCGACCAACGGCTGGACGGCGCTGCACTTCGCGGCGGCACGCGGTTTCCACCGCGTCCTCGAGAAGCTGATCCACCACGAGCCACCCCCGGTGGATGTGCCTGACCACGGTGGTGAGACGGTGCTGCACAAACTAGCGCGTGCCGAGTACGATCCGCAAGAGACCGATCTTGCGGAGGGTGAAGCAGATCGTGGCTTGTGCCTAGAGCTGCTGACAAAGATGCAGGCTGAGCAGCCAGGACGACTTCAGTTGGACGTCAACGGTCAAGATAAGCTCGGCTCGACGCCACTGCACTACGCGGTGGCAAGAGGGGATGCGGTTGCCATAGAGGCTCTTCTCAGGCTTGGAGCGAACATCGGTGTGAAGAACAGGTTTGGCGAAACGCCTGTACGTGGGTTACCGGCCGATGCACTGCAGAGGTATCTGGACGAATGTGTCACTTGCAACGACAGGCCGGTTACGGATGCCCACTTCCAGATTGAGCTATGCTACAGCTTCTTGGCCCCAAGACGTCGAGGCTTCGTGGACCCGCTTCCAGAGACCGAATCGCTCTGGTACATGGCGCAGTCGAAACGTCATCGCCACCTGCTGAAGCATCCCGTCATCTCGAGCTTCCTTGACCTCAAGTGGCAAGTTGTTCGCGGATCGGTGTGGGCTAACCTGGCGTTATATTCGCTGTTTGTCATTCTGATGACGACGTTTGTATTTTTGAACGTCAGTCGAGACTGGAGCACGCGTCAGCGCCGCCAGGCTACGGAAATACCTAACAGCTCCAATAGTCAGACGGTAGAAGAAAGCTCGTCCAATCCCGGGTTCCAGTTTGTGTTCATCGCAACAGCGCTGATCCTTGTTCTTCTGATACTGCGAGAGCTGTTTCAATTCTTCGTGGCTCCACGACGGTACATATTCAGCTTTGAGAACTACGTGGAAGCTTCTATGCTGGTGCTTTCTGCCCTGCTTCTCTTCTCTACTGTTGACGAAGAGCAGACACGACGCTTCTCTGCACTCGTCATCCTGCTGTCCTGGACAGAGTTCTTCATGCTGATGGGTCGCCTACCACTTTTCTCCATCTACGTCACCATGTTCACTACGGTGTTGTTCCGCTTCGTCCGCTTCCTCGCCTGGTACTTTGTGCTGATCGTCGCCTTCTCGCTCAGCATGTTCGTGCTCTTCCAGGGCGACGAGGCCTTTCCGAATCCGTCGTCGGCGCTCATCAAGACGATGGTGATGACGATCGGTGAGATGGATTACGGCTCGCTGCCGATCGCGCAGCACACGCCCGTCGCGCAGCTGGTGTTCGTCGCCTTCCTCTTCCTCATCACGGTGGTGTTGATGAACCTGCTCAACGGTCTGGCCGTCGCGGACACGGGCGAAATCCAGGACCAGGCGCAGATCTATGGCTACGTGGGTCGCGTCGAGCTCATCTCCTACATCGAGTCCATGCTGCTCGGCGACCCGTTCAACTTTCTCTCCAACTACCCGCCGTTCAAGTGGCTGCGCTGGGTGCCCGACTGTGCCCCGTGCTCCTGGCTGGGCAGCGTCAGTCCGCTCACCCAGCTGCGGGCCTGGCTCGGAGGTCGCACCCTCCTCTTCTTCAACACGCTGCCCAACAAGAACCTCACCGTGCTGCCCAACCAGCGCAACTGGCAGCTGGACCCGAACACGTGCAACGCCCGCTTCTCGCTCGACAAGCAGATCATCGAGGACGCCAAGACGCTGCTGATCAGCAAGCGACAGCCGCAGGATGATGTGTCGGAGAGGCTGGAGCAGCTGGAGAAGAAGCTGGACAGGCTGCTGAGCCGCCTTCTGCCCGCTGAAGACGCGGCACCCTGAAGACGTTCGATGTAATTCCTGGAAGTCACCGCGAGGCGTGGGTGAGGAGAGACGACGCGGCTGATTGTCTACCTTTCCACCGAAAAAGAGGGTCTATACAGGTGCAAAGCTGATTCAACTGGATGCACTTTGCGCAGTGCACGTATTACCACAAAAAAAAATGCAGAAGCATGGTGAATCTCTACATTCCTTTACTACTTGTGAATCTACTATTTTAATGAATTGGCATTGGCTTCATTCCACGATTAGTTATTCCACAATTTTCTTTCATGATAATGATTTTCTCGCAACAGGACACCGAACAACATTTATTCACTGTATGTCAATGCACCATGTACGCAACAACCCATTTTACCGGCTCTCTGAAGCTCCAGGTAGCGCAATATCGGTAGCTAATAAGCCCTCCCTTTCCTACTGACGACTCGCTTACTATAGTACGACGTTCGCACGTACTGACATAATGCGTGCCCATTTTCTGCAATGGGGCACACCATCTTTTATAGCAATTTTCAATGTCGCTTTTTATGGATGGTGTAAGCGTCGCGATTTACCCCTAGTCGTCTGCCTGATTGTCTATCAACGAGCATCTTTAAGTGACTGTTGTTTTATATTGCTTTTGTATTATTATAAATACATTTCTAAAGATGTAGTGATTTTTCTTCCGATGGTTGTTGAAATGTTCAACTATTACTTTAATAATTTTGGGGTTGATGTTCGACAGTTAGATATATGTATTTATTACCAATATTTGTCGACTATCTGGATGCTAGCGTTCTGGATTTCTATAAGCAAGTTGATGTACATTTTATTTTGCCCGTCGGAGCACATCGTGTTCCATGTTCAGACTTAAACGTCGCCTGACACTCCCCCCAATACCTATGCATCATGATCCAACACAAAAGAATAAGGGGCAAAAGTATGAATGTTGTGGGCGGATTTCGATCTCCAGGCAACGCACCATACATTGTGCCATTTGCCTCCCAAGAACACATCCAGCGAACAATATAGATCACCATTGACAAATGATCTGCTGTGGGTCTACCGGCGTTCATCCTATAAGGTCATAGCGACATTCGCAGGGCTAGAATAAGTTCATAAATATCGGTTAGATTCACGACACATGAAAACTCGTCATGTCACAACTCACAAGGCAAACTGATTTTCTCGGCCTGTTGAAATAGACGGTTTGTATTCCCCGATGCCATATTTGTTGGCCGGGTTGAGAACCGTTCGTTACATTTGTCATCGTTTCATCGCACCCTCGCTCGCCGATGAGGCGGCGCCGCTACCTCAGACAATGCCACTGGGACACGGTCCGTCTCGGACTCTGCATCATCGATATCCAGTGGGTGACGGCCGCGTCTCCGCGCACGTGCCGGCCCACGGCCACCTTTCCGACGCAGAGCTCCCTGCGGGACGGCGGCTGGCGGCCCTCCGGCGGATCGTCACCCGGGTCTCCTGGGGAGGTGGCGGGGGTGAGGGCTGGGAGACGGACATGCTGGGAATTATGTGAGTATCCTGGCGGTAATGGCGAAACAGTAACGAGATCATGCTCTAGTGAGTCATTGCCTTGATTTTGAAGTATAAAATGCACTTGAAATTACTTTGCTAGCGTAAAAAAAATCGAAATGGTATTTGCTTTTAATATTTATCTGTAATCATGTCGATCATGTTAATGTCGATAATCATGTCGATAATCATGCGTTGTAACGAAATACTACTTCATTACTCTTCATTCATGTATCGACATTGATTTTGCACATTGTCCCGTCCCATTGTCCCCCCGCTGCCCGCCGCACCTGAGGCGCCGTTGGAGTTGTGCGCCACCTCCGGCGGCCGGTGGAACACGCACACCAGCACGGTGACCACCTCCAGCTGCGCGAACGGCAGGTCAAACACCACCGTCTCGTCAAAAATCGGAGACGCGCCCGCAGGCTTGGCCGCCGTCTTCTTCTTTTTGATCAGCCGCCCCGACCCGCTCAGCAGGAACGCCCTCACGTACGGACCTGAGGACGTTGAAAATGAACGGCGTCGTAATAGGCAATAAGCATGACGAATAATAGTTATTTCATTATACTGAATCAATTTGTGAAAAAACGAAAGCATTAATGTGTCGAGTTCATCGCTTCATTAAACGTGAATTCATGTTTTTGAATAAGTGAAACTTTTAGCTCGATAACAACCACTCACAGAATTGCTGAATGTCCTCAGTGACCCTGGAGGTCATGAGGGCCGATCCCCGTGATATAGTCAGGGTCAGCCTCTGTGCCGTGGGCAGGTAGCTGAGACCAAACAGCAGCTCGCCGTATGTCTGAAATAACGGTGATATCACGGGCACTGAACAGTGAACAAGGCGGGTTAACGTTTATCGAGGCTCTGTATCCTGTACCTATGCATAAAATAAGTCTGAAGCCATCTACTTATTTTATGATTAAAACTTGCATTATCAATTTTTTGTCACTTTGTCCTTACCCTCCTTCATTAATTATCGGGTCTCATTGACCTCGACACCGAGCTTTTATTGCATCCGTGCGAGTTTCCCACCTTCGAGCTGGGTCGTATGTCTTCGGAGACGGTCTGGATGGCTTCTGAGGTGATGAGTTTCTTCAGGACCCTGAGTGGCTGGGTGACTGAGCCCATCTCCGTGGCGCTGCCGTAGCGGTCCTCATCGAACACGGTCAGCTTCAGGGCGCAGTCCTGAGAGCGCGTCACAGGGCACACAAGGGGGCGGTGATGCCAGAGTGCAATGTTTGGGTGCACGCAGGGCACTAAAGAGTAAAGAGAGACGGTAGTGCACGCTCTACCGTCTAGCTGTGGCGTACAGCGATAGCATGTGTGCTTACCGACAGGCAAAAACATTTTTTACTACAGATGTTACTAAAGTCACGAAGCTGTTTCGTTGGCTTCGAATATATGAGCAAGTAAGCACGCGTCACCAACGGATTTTCCTATTCACTCAGCACTGTATGTAATTCCTTTGTAATACGCATTTACTCCGCTCATTCATTCGGGGCCATTGTCACTGTAAGAAACAAAAATTCAGTGCAAACTACAGCTATCCTACGCATCACCACCCTCACGCTATCGCTACATTCCATTGACATCAGTTCACGGCACAAGCACGGTCACCTGCCGTCCGTCCGCACCTTGAGGTCCGGTTTGACGATCTCGGCGCTGAACGTCTGATTGAAGCTGGGACTCCTGGTGTGGCGCAGGGTGCGCGTGAGGAACTCGCAGACCACCGAGCTGCGAGAGCCGCGCAGCGACCGCTTCTCCCTCAGCAGGGTGACGCGCACGAACGGGTCACACGTGCCCACATAGTCGCGCGACGGCAGGTCACGTGCCTCCTGGCCAATCACAGCGGCGTGGGGTGCAGTGTGGGTCACGTGATTATATGACTTATGCGGGGGGAGGGAAAGGTGCTGAGAACCGGAAACGAGTTCTACCAACGTGTAAGGAATGCAAACACTTAATTTAAACGTTCTACGACGTTCGTTTTTAATATGAGAAGTGAATGTGAATGAGGCAAATGCCGCTCATGACTGTTTGATGCGCCGGTACACACGGCATGTCAGCTCTATTGCTTCACCCCTCAGCAAATCAAATGGCCTATTTATTTGTACGCCTGTAAGATGCGGACAGCATACCTGCACGTTGATGTGCAGCTTGCCGATCTGCCTGTCTCCGTTGGTCTGATACTGGAGGGAGAAGTTCAGCTGGCCGGCCCCGGACCGCTCCAGTACGGACTCGGATGAACCGCTCAGTGGCGCGCTCTGCGGCACGGCGTTTATACACGAAAAGGGTGTGTCAGGTGTTAGTGCTAATTACTTACCGTAAGGCGCTCGCATCGATTACCTACCGTGTACCGTCAATAATAAGTCGGTAAACTATCAACCGATTCATTACAAGCAGTACCTACTAACCGACCCTCAACAGACAACATGTCAAGCCATGGTGCCTAAGGCATCAGCCTATAAATGGCACAGCTACGTGTCGCTGATGAGTCGAATGTCTGATTGTCCACAAAAAAAAAGATCCAATGGGTTGCAAAAGCAATCACGTAAATCACTAACACGGTGGCATAACTATACCTACCTTATCACGAAATATGTAGTCTACGACATGTCGGAGACTATTTAGGCATTCCGTGCCTATATGAACGAATTATAATATCTGATATAATATTTTATCACATATTCTTTATTATTCCGTCACAGATAACCACTCTGTTTTATACCGCAAACACGGCCAACACTCGTGTTTCACGTCTGGAAATCGTATGGCCGGTATATAACGTGCGTCGCCTCGCAGCGTTAACACGCGCACCGACGGGGGGGGCGGATATCCGCCCCCCTGAGGTTTTTCGCGAATAGCGGGAAGTACGAATATTCCCTCATCAATTTTACACATGGTGTGCAAGTTTGAACCTCCTAACTTTTAAGGTCAGGTCACCAGGTCACTTTGAATGACCCAACCTCAAGTCACTTTTTTGCAACTTTGTCACCGTGCCAGAGCTACAGTAGATGTCGGAGGCCTTTGAAAGTCGCAGGATGTTATTAGGTCATTAGTAGCTACAATTTGTTTATCCCGGAATTTTGATATCGGTGACCTAAGGTCAGGTCAATTTCGCGACCTCCCCATTATAAGTCAATGGGGGAAAAATCAACTCCCTGTTTTTACCACTAAAACGGGTCGGAATGGCCCCATATACCATACATGACTTCATATACGATCAACCTTCACTACCTTGAGGTCTGTTTTGCTGTTATGCAGCTGTAAGGTCATGTGACGTCATCAAAGGTCACCAAAGATTTTTTTGCCAATAACTCCGTACAGGAACAAGATACAGCCGCACGGATGGTCTCATTGTGTTCAGCTCGTCAAGACGCATCGAATAATATACATGATGACCTCAAGGTCACGTGACCTGAGGTCAACCTTTGACCTTGACCTTTCGAGGTCAACATATACATATCATTCGATGCGGATTGACGAGAGGATCACGATGATGCCCTTAGTTTGTTCCTACCTTGACTAATTCGAAAGTTATTCGAGAAAAACTCTCTCCATATCTAGCGCCGCCATTTTGACTTTTTCGACCCCTGTGACGTCATCTTTGAACTGACCTGAAAATGACCTTAGTAAAAATTGTAGACCTTGACCGTGCGTATCCGATGCCGTTTACCGCTTGTTGCTATCTTGCTTCGTTCTTGAGATCTCAGGGGGGCGGTCATCCGCCCCCCCCCCCCCCGTCGGTACGAAGTTGGCGCAGACCCCCGTCGGTGCGCGTGTTAACGGCGTCACGATATCTGCACGATGCCTCATACCTACCAGCCATCTGTTATCATGGTGTGATCGGTGGCATGCCATGTCACGTTTTTCTGTCATGGTAAAGCAATAAGTGGCGATCATAATTGTTTATGACATTGCGACCCTTGTGAGAGTTTCAATCTTCTACTGAGAGATGAATGGACCGGAAGTTGTCGGCATGTCAACTCGTGACACTCCTCACTCCAGTGTCACGCCAGTGTCAAATTTTACCGTGCCGACTCTCGTGTCATGTCAGTGCCAGGTGTCATCGTGTCACTCGAGCTGCACCCACCCTGAACGAGGCGAGTGTCGGGGTCGGAGAGTGTCGTCCGCTGTCCGACATGGACGAGTATGTTGAGTCCCGGCCGCGCGACTGCAGGCTGAGACCGTCCAAAAGACCCGTCCGCTCTGCGGAAGAACGGGAGGCTGTACACGACACAGACAGGAGACAGAATAGACATATGCTGCAGAAAACGAACGGTTATACTATGCACTATAACCGCAGGTTGTTTGAAAAGACAAACACTATTCGTTAGAATTGTGTTTTTCTATTGAAAAACAACCGGAGCGGTCCTTCTCCGGGCTATGTTTTGCATGTCTGGCCGCGAATTGGGGCAACTTGGGTCAGGCCTAAACTTGTGGCTCGATTTTCTTAAAAATTTCAGTGTATGGGCTCCCGCAGGCGATCTACCTGTTGGCACCGGTCGCTACTCGCTTAAAACCTCGTGGCACGTGGCACGTGCGATTCCATTTTCCCCATGTTAAGTCAACGGGGTTTTGGACACTTTTTGCGCGATCGGGAATAGCGGAAAAAACGAGCCAAGGAAGAGGTGGTTTTCTTCCCAGCATTTTATGGCAAACACGTTCAGGTACACGCTAGTGTGCTCCGTATACCCCTCAGAACTTCGTAACGTGTCTTTGCACGAGGTCAAAGTTGAACTTTTTTCGCTCCCCATGTTAAGTCAATGGGCGTTTTTGCAGAGACTTTTTCATTCGCTCATTGTACAAAATTATATGATACGATTTTGTTTAAACTTTCAGGACTTGTTGAGAAAAGACCATAGAACATGTTGTTATGCTTCTTTAAGCTGTGCAAATTCGTTTGTTGTCTTTAGGCTTCTTTAAAAATGAAAAATTTTAACATGGAAAGTCAATGGGAGCGTCTTTGGTGCTTAATAACTTTGTACCTTGAAGACATATTCAAGTGAAAAGTTGATATTTTATACAACTTTTGATGCTCTTTCCAATGATATATACAACTTTATTGCACGTGGTGCCGTTTTTGAGAAATATAGTAAAAAAGCACGACATTACCGAGATTTGAGCTCAGACCTATATCGTTACGGTGTCAGGCGGACACGAGGACAGGTGGCGCCGCCGCCGCCCGCATAGCGGCGGGAATGTGAACTAACCTGTTTACCATCTATGGTATGGTACCATCGGGGGACCGGCCGCCGTCGGCACCATTTCGGGACTTTGCATCGCAATAAAAGGCTTATTTACAATTGAAAATGGACTAGCGAGAGTCGTTATGGAATCAGAATTTGATGCTGTACAAAACTAGGCGCCTATTTTCATTGTGATGGCATCACAGACTACACCGCTAACCCCAATAAAGCAGATTTATGTCGCGTCATCGATGATTACATATAATGTTTCTTTGATATATATGTAGTCGGGTCTTTCAGCTGCGTTCCTCCCCTCCCTCGCCGCGCCGGCGGGTCGGCCATCCGCGCCCTGCCGCCCGCCGGCTGCTGGCCGGTCAGCTGGCCGGTCAGCTGGTCGCCCGCGGCTGTCGGTGCAGTGCGGGATGCCTACTTGCGGGGGGCCGTCGTGGCGGCGGCCCGGGTGGACTGGGCGAGCAGTGAGTTGGGGAGCGCTGCGCTGTCGGTGCTCTAGTTTGCATTGCGTTCGCATGATACGGCTTGAGCCAATACAGAGTGAACTGATTGAGCTGAGCAAGTCTTTATATACATTGAAAAGTAAAGCACTTTTTACTGCATCTACGGTGAGATGCTAGATAAAATTTATGGTCTACCTAATGGTACCCATTACTTAACAATTAAGTGAATCATTTCGTCGCTAAACTCTCGTAAATTCGTATGTCCGCCTCACTATGGAGTTTGGACCGTAACGTATGGTCTTTGCTCAGACAGTATACGAACAGGTGACGGGGATACCTCCCATAGAAGGATGCGACACGATTTTACTGCTAAATAGCGGCCGGCCGCCGTGGGGACGTTTTTGTACGACTTATATCTCGGCAACCACTGGGCTGATACACGTGCGGTTTTTTGTGTTGGGTAGCTTTTTTCCTTCTTTCACATAGTGTGCTACTCTCGATGCATATGGGTGACCCCTAACGCACGTTCCACGTGCAAAGCCAAGAGGTGCCTGTTTTGTAATAAGTGCAATAGCTCGCGGTAATTACTGGGCCGATTGCGCTAAAACTTGGCATGGAGGTAGACACATTCCAGGCGATGCATTTCCACGTGTCTTGGTAGGTAACCGCAGGTTGTTTGAAAAGACAAACACTATTCGTTAGAATTGTGTTTTTCTATTGAAAAACAACCGGAGCGGTCCTTCTCCGGGCTATGTTTTGCATGTCTGGCAGCGAATCGAGACAAGTTGAGCCTCTCCTAAACGAATCGCTCAATCTTCGTAAAAATTTCAGTGTATGGGCTCCCGCAGGCGAGCTACCTGATGGCACCGGTCGCTACTCGCTTTAAACCTCGTGGCACGTGGCACGTGCGATTTCATTTTCCCCATGTTAAGTCAATGGGGTTTTGGACACTTTTTTGCGCGATCGCCAATAGCGGGAAAACGAGCCAAGAAGCAGGTGGTTTTCTTCCTAGAATTTTATGGCAAACACGTTTGGGTACACGCTAGTGTGCGCCGTACTATACCCCTCAGAATTTCGTAACGTGTCTTTGCACGAGGTCAAAGTTGAACTTTTTTCGCTCCCCATGTTAATTAAGTCAATGGGCGTTTTTGCAGAGACATTTTCATTCGTTCATTGTACAAAATTATATGATACGATTTTGTTTAAACTTTCAGAACTTGTTGAGAAAAGACCATAGAACATGTTGTTATGTTTCGTTAAGCTGTCAGAATTCGTTTGTTGTCTTTAGGCTTCTTTACAAATGAAAAAATTTAACATGGAAAGTCAATGGGAGCGTCTTTGTTGCTTAATAACTTTTTACATTTGAGATATATTTAAGTGAAAAGTTGATAGGTTATACAACTTTTGATGCTCTTTCCAATGATATATAGAACGTTATTGCACGTCGTGCCGTTTTTGAGGAATTAAGTAAAAAAGCACGACATTACCGAGATTTGAGCTCAAACCTATATATGGTCTTGACTCAGACAGTATACGAACAGGTGACGGGGATACCTCCCATAGAAGGATGCGACACGAATTTAATGCTGAATATTAGCGGCCGGCAGCCGTGAGGACGTTTTTGTACGACCTATCTCCGCAACCGCTGGACCGATACACTTGCGGTTTTTTGTATGGGGTTGCGTATACCCTTCCGGAGAAGTATTTTACTATGGACGAAGCATGCGGGTGACCCCTACTGCACGTGACACGTGTAAAACGGAGAGGGGTCACTTTTGTTGTGATGACAATAACACGGTAATTACTGGTGAGATTCTGCTGAAACTACATACACAAGGATGTAGGCACCCGCCGGACCATGCCTTTCCATGTGCTACGGCTGGGGTGCAACTGCACGTGCGCACGTGCAGGGTGACGCTTCCAGATCTCGAGAACGGCCGGGCCGATTGTGCTTAGATTTGGCACACCGCTAGAGACCGCGCAGTATGGTGCCTTCCACAGGTCAGCTGGGCCCCAAGTTGCACGTGCGCACGTGCAGGGTGACGTTTCCAGATCTCAGGAACGGCTTGGCCGATTGCATTCAAGTTCGGCACACCTTTAGAGACTGGTTAGTAGGGTGCTGTGCACAAGTCAGTTAGTATGTATATTCATGTGTCACGGTTGGGGTGCAACTGCACGTGCGCACTTGTAGGGGTCGCTTCCGGATCTTGAAAACGGCTGGGCCGATTGAGCTTAAATTCGGTACACCGCTAGAGACCGGCAACTAGAGTGCCGTGCACAAGTCAGTTGGGACCCAGCTTGCACGTGCGCACGTGAAGGGTGCCGCTTCAATATCTCGAAAATGGCCGGGCCGATTGCACTCAAATTTTGCACACCGCTAGAGTGGTTAGTAGAGTGTCCTGTTCGTCAGTTCGTAGCACACCCACTCCGGTCTGCACGTGCCAATCTCATCCTCTCGTTTGGCGGCGGGTAACCGCAGGTTGTTTCTTCATTAGACAAACACCATTCGTTAGAATTGTGCTTTTCTATTGAAAAAAACAACCGGAGCAGTCCTTCACCGGGCTATGTTTTGCATGGTTGGCCGCGAATCGAAATGTGTTTGTGATTGCAGTAGAAGACTCGAACAGGGAACAATCGGCGAGTTTGCTACCAAAACACATTAACCTCCGCCCGAGTGGGGCGAAGGTGTTTTTAGCCACACCTATTAGCTTTTTTGCGTTTGTTAAGAAAATCACTACGCGCATTGTTATAAAGCTTTGTATGATAGATCAATTTCAGCGGCATGGTTGGACCTCTATGTAGGCACACACCGGCGAGAACGGCTGCGCCAATTGCGCTTAAATCTTCATCCATGCGGCTGCATACAGAAGAGGTGGCACTCCGGCGCAACATGCTTTCAGGCGTTTGACACTTCTGCGTCATCTAGCGAGTAAAACGGAATGTTTGGCTAAAATGCCAGACGCATTTACCATACTCGATAATCGTCCTCAAAAGCTCCAGTCTCGTGCGAGTCATCAGTTCTAAAGAGATAGTGGTTTTCCCGGATCCCTCATTACTCCGCCATTTATTTAGGCGGTTATATACAATAGAGCCGGCATTGCGGCACAGCATACATTCAGGCGTTTGACGCTTCTGCCATCTAGCGAGTAAAAAGGAATGTAAGGTGTTTTCGACTGATATACAGATCCGTTGAAGCATCAATCTTAAACTTGATATTCGGCACAATTCAATGACTCTGATTCGAATGGTGACGTCGACGGCGACCGTGACGTCACCATTGCGTCAATATTGATTAACCCTCGCCGGCAGAGGGGCAGCACCCGCCTCTTCCCATAGGGTTTTTCGTGATAGCTCGGGACACGCCGGAGACAAAAGTGCTGAAACTTGGAATACCTAACCTATGATTTAAGCCGGATCTTATGACTTCGACCACATTTTCTGGTTACGTAAGGTCACTGACCTATGACGTCATAAGTGAACTTCTGCACTGTCCTCAGAGGTCGCAACTTCGCACCGCCCTCAGTACCAGAGGAACTTTCACAGAAAGATGAAACTTACAGGACGT